GTTTGAGGGAATGTATAGAGTCCAAATTATTGACCAGAACCCAAGCAAGATGCACCTGTTTTCTTGGGACCTTAGGGTTGCTGGCCTCCTGTTTTCCCAGCCTGTCTTCTGGGGGAAGGGCCTGCCGCGCTGTTTCTCAGGCAACCCTGTTCAGGCAGAGTTGCCCTGCGCCCCTGTGGCAGGGGATGGGCTCAGCGGGAATCAGTTTTGGGGCTTTTGTTCTCTGACGGCTTTCCCTGGTGGCTTTCGGCGTCTCTTCCGCGAGTCAGAGCAAAAGAGACCGTTTCCAACCCTCTGCCTCAGAGCAGAGAGACTGCAGTCTGTTCTTCAGTGAGCTCTCCAGGCCACACTGTCTCCGTTTCTGTCCGTGCTGCTATAAACTGCAGCAGCCTGGGTTGTGCGCCCCTCTGCAGCGCTCCCAGTCCTGCCTCCAGGTCGGGGCCCGTCTCTGCCCTTTGTGCTTCTAAAACCACCAGCCGCTCCCAGTTCCTGCGCGCGACCCCGCTGCTCTGAGATTCTGCCCCGGGGGCTGCAGTTTGCAGGCGCGACCTCGCCACTCTGGGTTTCTGCCCTGGGGTTGCCCTAAAGTCCTTTCCCCACCGCTACCTACCTGTCGGCGAGTCTATGCCCCATCCACAGGGCGCAAGGCTGTCACTCACCGGCGGTGTAGGATCCCCATGGCCAGGCACCCTCCCGCTGCCATTTATCCTCCGATATCTGCCCGCAGAATCACGGCTCTCCGCTTCGCACCTCAAAACCAACCCCCTGTGATATTCTCTTGTAGAGATCCAGATCTTCTTACATCTCAGGCTGGTTTCGTGGGTGCTCAGAGTGGTCTGGTAGGTATCCAGCTCAATTCCGGGGACCAGTTGAAATAGGGTCCCCTACTCCTCTGCCATCTTTCCCCCTCTGGATATTGTCTTCCTGCTTCATTCAGCCTTTCTTCTTTGTCTTTTTTCTGTAACTTCTTTTTTCTGTAACAATGCTACCATTAGTTTTTACTTTACTTCAACTACATCTACTTAAATATTAATATTAAATAATGTGCCAACTATTCTAAGGGCATGAAGGAGCTTATTTTTTTACTGTCTTAGGAAATAAACCAGATTGGTGCTTCTTCTGGTGGGTTGTTAAGAAACTGAAATAAAATCAGTAAAAAAAAGTTTTGTTACTATTTAAAACACTTCCTAATTTTCACTGCTTTTTTTAAAATAGGTTCTGGACCTACCTCAATAGCTTTTGTTGCTGTTCTTTTGTTTCAAATTCCATAAAGGCAGATCCCTTTGGATCTCCAGTAGATTTATAACATAGCAGACTTATATAAACAGGATTGCCACATTTTCCAAATACTTCAATCCAGCTGTGACTAACATTTTGGGGAAGTAACTCCTATACGCTAAACTAGGAGCATTTTAAATATGTAGGGATTCTTACTCAGAAGGTCAATAAATTTTTCCTTGGACTATTAAAAAAAAAAAAAAAGAAGAGTCCAACTTTTGGTTGGAGCAACTGGAAGGACTGAGTGTTCTCGCTGTGGTCAAGAAGGCTCCAGGAGGAACAGGATTGAGGGAAAGTCAGGAGGTCAGTTTTGAACACATTTGAGTTTGAGATGCTCATTCACTTTCAGATGGAGATGTTGGGTAGGCAGCTAGAGAGTCAGCTTGGAGTTTACGGAAAAGGCTAGAGATATACACCTCTGAGAATCTGTGGCTTATTGATGATATTTAGACATGAGAGTGAATAGGAGCACCAAATATGTCAGTATTAGCAACAAGAAGAAGAACTGATGACTTAGCCCAGAAGTTTTGCAAAATTTTACTGCAAAGTGGAATAACTCCTGAAAGAGTTTTTTCATTTGATAACTCCACCTTCACACACACACACACACACACACACACACCTACAAACACACACCCCTCTGCAATCTAGATTCCTTGCCCAATATTGTGCTAAGTTCTCTAAAGATCTCCATCCATGCTTGGATTTGAAGGAAACATCCTACCTAGTCCCATCTGGCTTTAGCTCTTACTATTCACCACTGCAGACCACTCTGGTCCTCTCAAACCTTATCCTTTCTTGTTCCTGAGACACTGCACATGCATGAATAGCCTCCCACCTCCCTAGCTGCTCCTTCTCAGTCTCCTTTGCCTGTTCCTTAAATATTGGTATTTCATCTTTCTCACTAAATCACTTCATTTACTCTCTATGTGCTAGAGACTCCCAAATTTGTATCTCCAGCCTAGTCCTTTCTGTTGAATTTCAGACCCATATACCCAACACTCCATTTGTCATCTTCTATCGATGTTTCGCAGGCAAACCCTATACCCAGTCTGGTCTCCTCACTCAATTAATGGTGCCACCAATCAGTTGCTCAAGTCAGAAAACCTAGAAGTCATTCTTAACTTTTCTCCTCACATCCAACTCCTGTATATATTATCCTAACTATCTCTTAAATCCATCACCTCTCTGCCCCCAAGTGCTACCACTTTGGTACAGGCCAATATCATCTCTCAAGTAGCCTACCAGTCAGTTTCCTAACATTTCTCCCTCCCTTGCCCCTTGCAATCCATCAGCCTTATAGACCGAATATGAGCTTTCTAAAATGCAAGTGTGATCATGTTACATTTATTAATTAAGCATAGTAAGCATATTCATGTTGCAAATCAAACAAAAAGGAATTTTCTGTCTTAGCTGAACATTTTAGGAGTAGTCTAGTTTCAGTTATAGCTTGATCCAGGATGCAGATTATAATCTGTTACCAAGCTCTGTCCTGTAGTTCTGTCCTCTCTAAGTCAGCTTTATCTTCAGGTTGCCATGTTCTATGATAGTAAGTTGGTTGCAGCAGTTTCTAAGTGTCATATGGTCACACTAGCAAATCTAGCAAAAAAAGGACACTTTCTCTCTCTTAAGCTCCAGCATTGGTCATACTGTGTTATACTGGTCTATCCCTGAGCTGCCTGCTGTGCCAAGGGGATTGGGTATGCTAAATATCTTAAGCCAATCCAAGGTCAACTCAATACAAACTACATTGGTTGTCAGAAGGGAAATGAAAAAGACGGAAGATGAATGAGCAAACATCTTAAGTGACTTAAAACCCTTTAATGACTCTTCATCACTCTTAATGTAAGGGCTGCTCTCCTCATCAGGGCCTGTAATGCCCTGCAAGATATGGTCTCTCCTGCTCCCTTAGTCTCATCTTTCCTGTCATTTTTTCCAACTCCCAGGTCTGGTAATACTGAGTTCATTTCAATTTCCAAATGAGTTTTTTTTTTTTTCTCTCTACCTTTTAGCACATGTCATTTTTTTGACATTCATGCTTAATTTGGGTGGTATAATACTTAATTTTATGTGTCAACTTGGCTGCACCATGGTTTCCAGATATGTGACCAAACATTATTCTGGGTGTTTCTGTAAGGGTGCTTTTAGATGAGATCAACATTTTATTTTATTTTATTTATTTATTTTTTAAAGATTTTATTTATTTGACAGAGAGAGAGAAAGTGAGAGAGGGAACACAAGAAGGGGAAGTGGGAGAGGGAGAAGCAGGCTTCCCGCTGAGCAGGGAGCCCGATGCGGGGCTCGATTCCAGGACCCTGGGATCATGACCTGAGCCGAAGGCAGACGCTTAACAACTGAGCCACCCAGGCACCCGAGATCAACATTTTAATCAGTGAACTTTGAGTAAAGCAAACTGCCCTCCAAGGCATGGGTGGGCCTCATCCAATCAGTTGAGGGCCTTAGAACAAAAAACTAACCTCCCCTGAACAAGAGGGAAATCTGCCAGCAGACAGACTGCAGACCTGAACTGCAACATTGTCTTTTTGGGTCTCCAGACTGCAGGCCCACCCTGCAGATTTTGGACTTGCCAGCATCCATAATCACATGAGCCAATTTTTCAAAATAAATCTCTTTCTATATCTATCTATCTATCCATCTATCTATCTCTCTATCTATACACACACACACACGTCCATTGGTTCTGTTTTTCTGGAGAATTCTGACTAATACAGGTGGGTTAGCAAAAATAAGTTGTCTATAAATTCCCAAAGTTAGGTGAGAAGTCATACAGTCACATCATGCCATATAACAGTGAGAGATACAGACTTTGCATAGTAAGCAATGATGAATTTCAGCAGATTTTTATGGAAGAGAGGGAGGGAGTATGGAAAAATTATGGTTTGGCTAATTAAGAGCCAATTATAATCTCCTTCTCCTTTGACCACTTCTACATAGAGGTTAAAAAGCTAAGCTTTCCAGCTTCTCTTACAACTAATCGAAAGTGCCTGAGAAGAGCTTCCATTCATGGAAAAAGATAAAAGGCAAAGTCATCCTGAGACTTTTTGTCTTTTTTGTCCTCTTCACCTTTCTAACTTCTTCCTGCCTGGAATGTAGAAGCAAGGTCTGGAGATACTGCAGCCATACTGCATTCATGCAGCAACTGGCGAGAGAGTGAAGGCCTACAGGATAAGGATGGCAGAGCAGAAAGATGAGAAGAGACTGGGACCCGAGCAGAAATTTGGAGCCACAGTACCTACCCCCAGACTTTGTAATGCATGAAACAAATAAACCTCTATTTGTTTAAGTCACTATAGTAGGGTTTTCTCTTATCTACAGATGAATGTATTACTACTTGATATAGAGAATATGGTACAAAGATCAAATTTTTCTTCTGGAAGATAAACTGACCTGATAAAAATTCCTTTAGGCAGAAAGAGATGCCAGTCAGAAGTCTCCTGCTCTGAAGATTCACCAAACAAGCTCTACACACTGGTTACCTATGTACCTGTCACCACTTTCAAAAATATACAGACAGTTAATGTGGATGAGAACTAATCGCTGATTGGCAAATAAAGGTATAAAACCACAAAAAAAAAATCTCCTGCTCCTGCAGGAAAAGATGGTGAGGGCCTGAAGGATTTAGTATGAGAGAAAGGCAAACAATCACAAATCTTTGTCAAATTTGTGAATTTTTCCCAACATTCTTATGATGAAAACAATTATATAACTACATAATTACCAAATATTTAAATCAAAAATTATTCCCAAATAAAGCAAGAATTCTCCTTGGTCTCAGTTGGATAAACTCAAGGGTGAAACAAAACAAAACAAAAACCTCAACCATGTTCTTGAGACATGAGAATTTCCTTTTATTGCTGCTCTGAGAATACACCTAATTACTCAATCATGCCAATTAAATAGGAAGTTCACCTGCTGACAAACAGCTATCTTGGGATATAACAGAATAAATTGTAGAAATAATTGGATTTTCTAATCAATATTAACTTCATCATATTACACAGCTGCTACTTTCCTTTACATTTAGATAAAGCATTTTTTTTCTTAAAATATGTAAAACTTCATTTGTAGCAAAATCTCATGGATAAAAAGATGAATAATTTTGTCCTTTTGTCGGTGAGAGTGGTTATCCTGTCTGAAGCATTATTTTCACAAACTCTTTTATCCCTCTCATTAGTTAGCCATTAAAAGTATAAATATCATATTTTAGCTGAAACCATAGAGCTGTATCTTCTAGAACAACAACTCCATTTTGTGTATGAATTTCTGAGATGATTTATTATAACATCACTTTTATAATTATTCTTAGAGCATTCTGTTGACCAATATATGCGTGAAAGAATACAAAACTCATGAAAACTGTTCAGTTTTCTAGATATTTGCAAATGTCTTATCAAGTAAAGGGCTAGTATCCCAAATCTATAAAGAACTTATCAAACTCAACACCCAAAAAACAAATAACCCAGTCAAGAAATGGGCAGAAGACATGAACAGATATTTCTTGAAAGAAGACAGAGATGGTCAACAGACACATGAAAAAATGCTCACTATCACTCATCATCAGGGAAATACAAATCAAAACCACAAGAAGATATCACCTCACACCTGTCCGAATGGCTAAAATTAAAAGTCAGTAAATGACAGATGTTGGGGAGGATGTGGAGAAACGGGAACCCTCTTACACTGTTGGTAGAAATGCAGGCTGGTGCAGCCACTCTGGAAAACAGTATGGAGGTTCCTCAAAAGGTTGAAAATAGAGCTACCCTACGATGCAGCAATTGCACTACTAGGTATTTATCCTAAGGTTACAAAAGTGCTGATTCAAAGGGGCCCATGCACCCTGATGTTTATAGCAGCACTATCAACAATAGCCAAATGATGGAAAGAGCCCAAATGTCCATTGACTGATGAATGGATAAAGAAGATGTGACATATATATTCAATTGAATATTACTCAGCCATCAAAAAGAATGAAATATTGCCATTTGCAACAATGTGGATGGAACTAGAGGGTATGATGCTAAGTGAAATAGAGAAAGACAAATATCATATGATTTCACTTATATGTGGAATTTAAGAAACAAGACAGATGAACACAGGGGAAAGGAAGGAAAAATAAGATAAAAACTGGGGTGATTGAGTGGCTCTGTCTGTTAAGCATCTGCCTTCAGCTTAGGTCATGATCTCAGGGTCCTGGGATTGAGCCCCACATTGGGCTCTCCATTCAGTGGGGAGCCTGCTTCTCCCTCTCCCTCTGCCTCTCCTCCCCACCACTTGTTCTCTCCCCTCTCTCTCAAATAAATGAATAAAATCTTTAAAAAAAAATAAGATAAAAACAGAGAAGGAGGCAAACCGTAAGAGACTCTATAGCTAAAAGAACAATCTAAGGGTTCCTGGCAGGGGGGGAGGGGGAGGATGGGCTAAATGGGTGATAGGCATTAAGGAGGGCACTTGTTAGGATGAGCACTAGGTGTTATATGTAAGTGACAAATCACTAAATTCTATTCCTGAAACCAACACTACACTATATGTTAACTAACTTGAATTTAAATTTAAAAAATATTAACAGAAAAAAAAGAACATAAATACCTACCAATAGAATCAGGGCATCAAAAGGCATGGTCGAAACATTTTGATAGGTATGTGAAATTGCCTTCCAGAAATGTTGCATTGATTTAGTGCTTATTTTCCCATGCTTGGAGAGCAGGGGTGGAGCTATCCTTTCAATATCATTTTAGACAGAAAAGCAGACCCTGATTAGAAATATTTAATTGCCCAAAAGGGAGATGGATGTAATTTCAAGCTTTTGTGTGTGTGTGTGCACATGTGTGTGTATTTGCATGTGTATATATGCACTACCTGACTTAAAAATGTTTGCAGACCACTAATTAACTTGGGGCCAGGAGCCAATTGCAACTTTGAGTTCTGTACCTTGGGACTGGGCTTCCAGAGATCAGACAGAGTCTGTTATTGATTAGCTGGATCCCTCAGCACAGAAGATTCAGAAGCCCGGAAGAAGACTCTGAGACATGCTAGTCATATCTGCAGTTTTAGAAACAATCTTTGATACTTCAAGAAATCATTCCTAAGTGAAGGACGTGGGCCAAGGAGAGAGCCAGTGGTTAAAGACAAAACAACAACAAAGAACCAGTGGTGTTCTGAGGGCCAAATTCCATTTGCAGAAATACAAATTTTTGTTGAGTGCCTACTATATGCAAGACTCTGCTTTAGGTGCTGGAGATAGAGCAGTGAACAGAACATTAAAAATCCCTGGCCTCATGGAATGTATATTTTGGGAGGATATAGATGATAAATAAGAGAAAGAGAGAGAGAGTAAACACAAGCAGGGGGAGGCAGGCAGGCAGAGGGAGAGGGAGAAGCAGGTTTCCCGCTGAGCAGAGAGCCCGACATGGGGCTCGATCCCAGGACCCTGGGATCATGACCTGAGCAGAAGGCAAACACTCAACCGACTGAGCCACTCAGGCTCCCCTTATCAGAGTACTGTAGAAGTTTAAAAGAAAACTACTACTCACTGAACATTGAATTAAAAACTGAATTAATTTCTATCAAGCTTCCTCCCTGATCCTGTAAGGAGATAACTGACAGTTAATATTTTCTATTTATATATTATTAATGTTTTAAGCCTAAATTCTACTTCCTAGCATGTGGAGAAACTACTGGCTTTTCTCAGTGAAAGGCTAGCTTTATTCTCAAGTGGAGGACAAACTAGCTGCCAATACTGGGTAATAAAAGATGTCACATAAATCAACAAACAAATGGAAAAGTTAAATTCAGGATCACATATGTAAGTACATTTAGCAATGGGAGATGAGCCAGGCACATTTCAGTGTAGGCAGCACACAGTCTGACAAACACAAGTATCCTTATGCAGACAGCTGATCAGAATATTTTGGAGCACAGCTGTCCCATAAAATCAAGCCCACATGATTGCTCCAGGTACACTGCTTGTTGAATCCATTCCTTGATCCTAAAGTCTGTAAATTGAATTTCTGTACATTGAGTTTCTATTAGGAACCATACTGTGTGGACTCTGATGCCAAATTGCCAGGGTTCAAATTCCAGCTCTGCCATTTACTAGCTGTGTGATTACAGGCTATTCTTAAACATCCTGTGCCTCAATTTCCCTATCTATTAGATGGGGACAAGAATAGTAACCAGTTCATAGAGTTGTTGGAAAGATTAAATGAGTTAATACATGCAAAGCCTTAAAATAGTACCTGGCACATAGCAAGCACTCTATGGGCGTATGTTGCTATTATTAATTTCACGATTATTAATTTTTATTACTACTTCTATCTGAATTTAAAGAAAAATTTATGTCTTTATTAAAGAGTCAAAATGATAGTGAACGCCTCTACAAATATAATCTATATTTCCCAGGGCACAGGACTTTGGGTCCCCGAATACAGTCCTGCGGTATCAGTTACACAGTCGGCTTGCACAGAAGGGGGAAAGGTTTAGAGACAGGCGTTTCTGGTTTTGAATTCTACCTCCACCACTAACTTATCGTGCGACTCTGGGCGCTTTAACTACTCAACCTCTCTAAGCCTTTAGAAGGAGAAGAATAATATCTTGCCTGATGTGATAACCAAGAAGGAGATAACTTAAGCGGAATGTGAGGTACCTAAGAGATGGCCTGAAGCATAAGGACCTCAGTTCTTGCAGTTGCATATGGGGCCCTCCGTTTACCTCTCTGGCTCCCTGCCGCCTTCAGCAAAGTCTTACTGTTCAGCCTGGTGAAACCAAACCACCACAAAGCAGGCCCAGGACAATCACCAATGGAAAACTCAGTGTGTAAAGATATCATTGGTAATATAGGAAGTATTATAATGTTATATTAAAAAAGGTTTACGGGGCGCCTGGGTGGCTCAGTTGGTTAAGCGACTGCCTTCGGCTCAGGTCATGATCCTGGAGTCCCTGGATCGAGTCCCGCATCGGGCTCCCTG